TTTAATAATTATTAACCACAACTTTATGTTTGGTAGTACTAAAGTATTATTTTACAAGTATGACTATCAAATGTCAAGTTGATTATTAATCCTTGCCTCAAAAAAAAAAAAAAAGTGATTATTAATCCATGAATAGAAAATTTGAATAACATATAAACATTTTCAATCTCATATATATATTCTATATTTCTATAATATATATCCTACGTCAAAATATCCCAATTCAAAAGGGATATACACCTCTTACATAGCAATGTTTGTATCAATGATGTGTTTTAAAATTTGGCATAATATAAAAAAATTTATTTTAAAATTCAATTAACAAACCGGCCATTGCCACCAAAATTAAAATTTCAAATAGGCAATAGTCTTAAAAAGAAAATTCCTAAAAGTCAAGGATCCAAAGACTTACTTTCAAATCGAGGGATATATATATATATTAATTAGGGAGGAACCCGAGACATCGCACGGGGTATATAATCCGTGCAATGTACTTATATACCCCATATGTCCCTATTTTGTTGACATGTTTTTTACCGACACAATATTTTATAGCATACTTAATTTGACGGGCAAAATGTTTTATACAAATTTAATTGACTAGTCTTTTTTGTGACAATTAATAATTAAGGTTTTTTTTTTAATTTTATATTTATAATTATTGAGTTGTAGTGTTATTATCATACATAAATCAACAAATATATAATAAAAGCTAAAGTGTAAATCCTAATTGGAGCAAAAAAAAAAACTTTCAAAGAAAAAAAAATATGAAATGATACAGAATACGAGAGTAGTACATTATTCTAATATATTGCCTTATAAGTAGTACTAGTAGTAGTGTACGTACTTAGCTAACAGCTGGAGTATTGTGCTTTACTTGACAACATCCCACCAAAAAGGCAAAAATCGATGCTCTTTCAATCTTCAATATTTGATTTTGATGCTTAACTTTATTTACATTTCATTTACTTGGTGAAAATTTGGTATTTTTGAAATTTGAGTGTATGGGTTAATCTTTTGATGTGTTGTTTTTCACGTACATCACAAATTCTCAGGGTCATTTGGGATTGTTGAATTTTCTGATTAGTTTGAGATAATTGCTGTTAAATTATTTATTGAATTTCATATTTTGGTTTAACAGATGCTCATGCTTCACCTATTTTTCCTAGACATGAAAGTAAGTTCTTGTTTATAATTTATGTTGATGTTGTTGTGACAATTCTGTTCTTTTAATTAATCGTTAATATTTTTCAAATGTGGGGGACGTACTCCTCCTAGACACAGTGTTCATTACCGAATATTTTTCTAATGAGATCACAACTTGGTTACTTGAAAATGATGCTGATCTACAACCTCGTGTTGCTAATCCACACCAGCTAGCCGTTGGACCTCAACCTCCCACACTTGTTCTAGCTGCTGATCTACACCACGATCTACACCAGGAATCTGCTGATCCACATCAAAAACATGGGATAGTGTGCTTAAAGCATTAAAGTTAGCATTTGCAGCATATGAGGGTGCACTCGCCACATTAGTGGGGGTACTCGCAGTCATGGAAATATGGAAGAACTTGTTGGTCCTCAAAAACAGGATTCACCGGTTATCAAGCAGAATTCACTGGTCCTCATGCAGATGATAATTTCATGAATCTAATTATTTTCGAATAAATTAATTCTTGATTGAAATTTGTGTTGATGTTTATACTTCAATTCCATTAACAATATTTATCCAAATTTTATTTTTCAGAAATGGGTTTTCCCACTCTTGTTTTACTATCACAAACTGCTAATTTATACCAGGATGCACACCACCAAAGCTGTTGATGCACACCAGCGTCTTTCTTGAATCATTTGAGCGTGCACATGCAGCATTGGAGCTTAAACTTGTAGCATTGGAGAGTGCGCTTATAGCCTCGGAAAAGCTTGTTGTTCCGTTTGCTGCACCACAAGCTTGATGCATTAGTGGAGTGCTGGAGTAATCGTGTTAATAGTATTGGAGTAATAGTTTTAATAATAGTACTGGAGTATTAGTGTTAGTCATCAAGGGCATTCATCCTAGTGTAGCAGTTATGAGGAGTATTAGTGTCAGTCATCAGGGACATTCATCCTAGTGTAGCAGTTATGATATTGGAGTATGTAAAATTGACCATATATATTTATAAATACTATATAGGCATACTTTAAATTTGTAAGGATTTCGTTAGTAAAGAGAAATATGTAAAATTGAATTAAACCGTTAATCATAAATCGAATAGTATGACATACATAAATTGTAAAATTATAAGATTTAAGATTTAAATTAGAATTTTAATAACAATGCCGACAATGTTTATTCAAAATATACAAGTGTTTAAAGGTGTTAGTTAAATGTACAGGTCAGGAGAATGTTTTATTTATAGGCATTCATCCTATCCTTCAACCTAAATCAAGAAGGTTCTCTAATCTTCTTAATGAAAATCTAGAAACTGACCTTTTAGAAGGTTCTATGTACTTAAAAGGAAAAGAAAGAGCCTAGATACATCCTACTGATTTTTTTTTTTTATTTTTTTTTTTTAGTTGATATTTTACCTTGTACTATAATGAATTTGAGTTAATTAGTTAATATTTTACCTTATACAGTAGTAGACAAAATGAAATTACTCTTATGAATAAACCATATTATGATAAAAAATAAATTTGATGAATTAATAGACTATCTAGTTGAATTGCTGCTCCATATTTTTAATGGAAATTTCACCAAAGGCCCTTGAGTTATTTTTTTATTCACCATATACCCATGAAATTTTCCAAATTCACCATATGCCCCTAAGTTTATGAAAATTGTTACAAAATACCCAAATGATTCACGGACGTTAACTCTGTTAGTCATTTTGGTTTAATTTTCCACGTGGCAGCTTATCATTGGCTGCTATTTATATTATTTTAATTTTAAAATAAATATTTAATTAATTATCAAAAATAAAACAAATAAAAAAAATAAAAAACCCACCAACCACCAACCACCAACCCAGTCCCTGCCCGCCACCATGTACATGTCGGCGCGGATTTCGCCTGAACCCCCGTGCCGGCACCACCGCCACCACCAATCCGACACCCCACTAGTCGAAACCCTTGAACCACCGATTCCCCAAATCTAAAGCCGCCGCCTCCTCTCCCCACTGTTGGCACCCAAATTCCCATCACCGGGCCAGTGTACCCAAACCGTCACTTCCGCTTCCACCTCCATATATCCCCTGAACCACCTCAACGAAACCCCAAAATAAAAAATCCTAGAATTGAAACCCTAGATTTTGATTTATATGGATTTTGATTTTGGGGTTTAACGGTTTTGGGTTGGTGGTTTTCGGCTAAGGTAGGCGGCGACATCGTCGGGGATGAGACTTGGGCTGCCGAAAAACAGGTTTTTGGGTGGTTGTTTGATGTTCCGCTAAGGTGGAAAGGGGTTTTTGTGGTTCAACGAGAAGGGGGGTATGGTGCTTTGGGTAACGAGCGGGCACTAGCGCAAGGATAAAGGTAAGGCGTCGCCGGCGCGGTGAGGAGGTGACGGTGGCGGTGAAGCTGGCTGGGTGTCGCTGTGTCGGTTTTGGGGAGATGGATGGGCTAAGGTGGCTCGTCGGTGGTGGTTAGAGGTGGTGTTTGTTTTTTTTTTTTTTTTAAAAAAAAATTTTTTAAGCTATTTCTATAAGATTTAATTTATTAATTTAAATAATAACCAATAACATGCTTCCACGTGGCATAATTAACCCTAATGACAAACGGACTTAACAACCGTTAGTCATTAAGGGCGTTTGGTGACATTTTTGTTAAGCTCAAGGGTATATGGTGAATTTGCAAATTTTCATGGGTATATGGTGAATAAAAAAAATAACTCAAGGGCATTTGGTGAAACATCCGTATTTTAAAATTATAACTATTCTTTCCTTTTTTTTTGAAGAAAAAATTATGACTGTTCTTTCGATATATTTCAAAATTTTTATGTGTAATTATTTATTTACACTCTCAATGTTTTCCCAATTCACCATATTACTTGGGGGTTGGGGATTCCTCATCCTCCTCCGCCCCTCACTCATTAAGAGCCTAGTTTGATAACTTAGGTTGATCCGAGTTGAAAACGTTAAATTATCATTAGATACGTTGACCCTAGCTTGCTTTATAATTAATGTGTGGCTGGGCGTATGGTGCATTTGTAAGGAATATTAGGTATATTTAAAAGAATATGGGCGAAAAAAAACATCATACACATTTATAAAGAACGCGAGCATAATATTATGTTATTTGAGTTTGATTATTATGTTCTTTAATGTATGTACATAAAAAAATGTTAAATTCAACCACGACTAAGTAACTATGAAAAAGAACATGTTCTTTAATGTATTATCATGTACTTTTTATAAAGACTTTAAGTTCTTTGTCTAAAGGTGACAAAAGTTAGCCCGACCCGCTAGCCTGACCTGACCCGAACCAAGTAAAATTTTTCGGCCCCAAATCATTTTTTTTTTTTGGTGGGTTTGGGAATGCCTTTTAGATGATTTTTTTTTGGCCTAACGCAAAAGGCCTGCACGACCAGACCATTTTGGGCGGGTTTGGGCACAGAAATTCCGGCCTGAAAATTGGCCCGATCCTGTCCAGCCTGAGAAGTGGACTGATACTGTTTACCTCGGCCTGACCCACCCAATGATTACCTCTATATTTGCCAAACATAGTTCTTTTTCAAACACATTCAACCACGTGAGTAACTATGAAAAATAACATGTTCTTTAATGTATTATCATATTCTCTTTGTAAAGAACTTATGTTATTTGTAATATCATATCTTTGTCAAACACAAACATGTTCTTTTATCAAACACTGATTTGTTCTTTTTCAAACACTAGTATGTTCTTTTCCATACACTAGTATATTTTTTTTTCGCTCATGATTTTTAAGATATGCAAATGTTTTTTCCACTATTTTCACTTTATAATGGTAGAAGATGATTACATAATATGAGTTGGATTTTTTTTTTTTTTTTTTTTTTTGACAAAGAATACTAACAATACAAACAAATAACAACCAAAGCTAAATTAAAATTAAAAGGACCAACCAAGGAGGCGCCGATCACGAGCACTGACAGCCAACCAATGTGCAGGGGCTACCCACTGCGAGGCACCTTACGTCCTTACAAAGCTGACAGGCCGAAAACTGAGGGAGAAGATCTTGGATTCTCGCAATAACCAGAAACAGGAAATGTCAGATTATCCAGAACAGAGGAACAAGGAAACCAGCGGAGCACAATATGTGTAAATGAGGATACGAAGAAGATCTCGATGTAATGCCGACCAAAGGCCCCACAAGCAGGCCTGCAACTCTGCCGAAAGAGGATTGGTAACTCGACTGGCGCGCGCCCCACCACCAAGGACCCTTTCCGAAGCAACCTCCTGGACAATTCAGCAAGCGCCTGCCCGATTGTTATGACAGAGCCAGGCGCCGTCAACAACTAAACAATAGTCCAAGTGATCCATAGACTCCCCCTGCAAACACAAAGGAACCAACTCTTGGTTGAGAGAATGGTTAGCCAAGGAAGTAAGATGATGATAAAACTCTTGAGCCTAAACAGCGCTAGTTGTCCATTCCTGAGAAAGATGGTAAAATAAGGAGGAAGACCAAACCGCCAGCCTAAAAACGTAACCATTTCGAATAATCCAGATGGTCCAAAGGATAGATGAAGGATGTAAGACTAACCAGATCTTGGGAATCCTTAAAGTACGAAACCACAGACACTACCCAGTCGACAAATGTGGTAGACCCCGGGAAGGTACCATTCAAAGCAAGGAGAATCGAATCCTAGAGGGAGCTAATAGATGGACAATCTCTGAGCAGATGGATGTCGTCTCCATATGCATACGACAAAAAGGGCAAACCGGATCCACTGGAAGTCCCTTGGAAACTAAAGTAGCTAATAAAGGAAGAGCATCATGAATTAGCTTTTAATAAAACACCTTAAAACGGGGGAGGAGGGGAAGACCCCAGAAGGATTTCCACCATTGATCCGGGACTGGAGCACAGACTATCAATACAACAGATTGTCGAACCAAAAAAGTGTAGGCTGATTTGGTGGAGAAGCGATCGTCCCTAGAAAATTTCCAATAAACAAAATCATCCATAGCTCGATGCGGTCTGTTAGTCGACTGATTATCAAAGAGCTGATATATGAACCTTAGAAGTGTCCTACGTGCCAGAACGCGGAATAATGAGAGAAGAAACATGAGTCTGAACTTCCAACTCAGAAACTGACAGTCTAAAGGAACCCAGTCATCCACGAGGGTTCTAACTTGAGAACGAACCCGAACCAACTTTCCAAGCTAGACCCTTTCCCAAAACAGCCTGCCCTTCCATCAGGCTCCTGCATACCCAAGACGTCCTAGTAAAATCAACTGGTCCAAGCAAGTGAAGAAAGGGTACTTGGCCCGAAGGACTCTAGAAAGAAGTAGCTGGGGGTTTTGGAAGAGGCGCCAACGTCGACGGGCAAGCAAAGCCTGTTTAACCAAAGCTGAGCTACGAAGACCCAATCCTCCTAAACCTTTCGGAAGATGCAGAATTGAGGCTGAAGGAAACGCCATACCTTTCGAAGAGGAAGAATACCTCCACCTGCCAACAAGTTATCAATATATCCGAGTTTTATTAATACATATATGACCCTTGGTATGATTTCATTATTTGTAAAACTTAGGCCTTAAACCATGAGCTTGGCCTAGTCAATCTGACACACATATCTCCATGATTTAAAGAAAAAAACAAGAAGCCTGGACTTTCTGCGATAAGAGGGCCGAGATATGCTAGCGTTTGCATATCTCAGTTGTAATGAATTTGGATCAAACTTATTGTTACAACTCTTACAAGTAAGTCAGTCAGCCAACAACCTACTTAAACCAAAGACAACACAAAACCAGACTGTAAAAGTAGAACTAAATAAACTTTCACAACTCGTTGGGTTTCCATATACGATCAAACTACCCGTAGAGATTCTTCTAAGTTCTAACAGCAAGAGCAACCAGCGCGCTGAACAGCTTTTTCAACAAGCATGCACAAGCAGCTAAACTTCTTCATCAAGATCATATTCCATCACCTTTTCCCAGGATTTGAGTGTCTTATCTTCAGTATCGGTTTTGTACAGTGCCAGACGGTTTATTTTGAAGCTCAAGTTGCCAAGGGTGTCGTCCAATGCATTAGCTCTCTCTTGAGCTATCTTCTTCTCTTCATCAGTTAAATCCGCATAAAGAAGGCTCATGTGTGGCATGTAAGCTACACAATTACATTTAGATATGATCATCAGAGAAGAGCGAACTTAGTTCAGTAGAATAATCAGGCTAGTAATTCTTCAGTAAACTGTCATCATATCAGTAATATGATAATATCAAACAGACTGATCCAAGTGCAGGAATAAAAGTGTCAATCATCCAACTTTTTCAAAGATACTTCTGTTTAAGGGAGCACAAACTTTAAATTTAATTTTAAAAAAAAAAAATAGATTAAAGGTTGCAGAGGGAGCGCAAACTTTAATTAAAAAAACAAAAAACAGATTTATTTAGAGTAATGTAATACAAATGCCACATTGTCCAAAGTGAGCTTTTGAATGTATAAAAAGCTACAGCAATCAATAATGTATTTCGTAATGACAGTAACTCAAAATTGCCTAGAATTCATAATTTGCACAAATTATGAATTAACAAGGATAAATGATCAAATAACCAGAAAGTTAATATATGTCAATAGATTGCAGAGTATAGAAGTATCTGAACAGCATTGTTCTGTAACTTCTGAACTCTGATTTTCTTCCTGTTTTGAACTTTTTATTAGGAAGGGGTTTCAGGACATTAAAAACAATAGTTTAAGTAAAAGTTTATATTCATCTTCTTAAGATTAATTAGCCAACTTAACAAATTAAGTTAAGATACAGATATTTTGCGCATTAAAACTATTGCTGTATGAAGTAATACCAATATACCATAGAGAATATACATTTATCTCATCTAACACTTAACCATATCCATCAATTTAATTAAAATTAATAGGAAGCAGTATCCAATTCAACTTACGTGCGGTGCGATTATAACCAAAATGTCCACAGCAATGATCACTAGTTTCAACTACCTGTAAATTAAATCAATAAACATTCTAAGTCAGATATTAATCATATTATGGAGTAAAAGACCAACTCAATTGATTGCCTTGAAAATGATCATACTCAAGAAAATGATTGCCTCGAAAATGACCATTCTCAAGAAAAGTTCCATACATATATGACATAAACCAATCAATCAACTTTCAATTGAATAAATTACATTTTCAATTTTTTAAAGTCACCTAAATCATCTTCACCAAATTAAAAAAATGTCACCTGAATCATAAACAATAAAGCAACAATATCCAAAATAACAGATTATCTACCAAACTCTTCAATCAACTGAAATACTCGTATTTCTAACCACTACTTCCTTGGTTCCTCCGTTTTCTTCAATTAAAATACGTATATAAAAATCACGGTTTACAACTTTTTTATTAACATTTTTAGGCAAAAATTTGAATGTGAAATACAACTTAAGTTGTTTTTCTAATCACAAAAGACATGTAATATGATAACTAGCATAAAAGTCAAAATATTACGATTAAACAAGGACGTACCTGAGGGGTGGTGTCAAGGAGAAGGTAAACACACTGATAAAAGAAAGTTCCAGTGGAGACGCCCCTACCATGAGCAGTATACGCCTTCAACCCTTTACACGCTAATTTAAATTTATCAACTGCATCTTCTGGATTCAGTGTGATGGCCCCCACAATAGTAACATGAGGATCAAAATCAGGACCGTTGAATTCTGATCGGAGGGTGTTCATCACATTTTTCACCCTCTGCTTCACATCTTCTGATGGAAGTCCCCACACCGAATACACTTCTGTTTGGGTCGCCATTTCTTTCTCTACAAATTTGACTTTTTTTTTTTCCTGAAAATTGTAGGAATTTGTACGAGTGTTAGTGGGATTTTGAGGATTGTTATGAAGAAATTGGGGAATTTCTTCTGATTAGCAAGTGGAAAATTAAATATTTGGGTTTGTTATTTTTTAATTTGATGGTCAAGTCTTTTTTTTTTATTTTGAATTTTGTGATTCGGTGGATGTGCTGTTATGTTTATTTGTCCCATTCATTCGCATGTTCTACGTATATGCTGATTTTGATCCACTCTAGACCTAATCATGGGCCGGATTGGGATGGGATAGGATGGGATGGGCTGGGCTTTGTGAAAAACTTAACCCATTTTGAGCCAAAGATTTGGGCCGATTCCTCTTAGTCATTAGTCTCATACTCTCGTAAGTCTCATTACTCATTCACTTTGTGCTCGTGCTTTTTCAATTGTCTAAGGTATGCATGAATTTGTCCGAATCGAATTCGACCGAATCCTGACTTGAACCCGGCTTGTAAGTCAGAAAAAACCGACATGATCCGACTTGAATTTAACCAGAAACCTGACATGACCTGGCCTAAAAACCTAACTTGAATACTTGATTTGACATCTCTAGAGCAATAATGTTATACTTTACAATTAATTAAAAGAGGTAAATCATTGATAGAAATGATTAAGTAAATAAAAGTACCTTAATCTAAATCTAAGCTAAGCGTTCGATAAAACAGAAGTAACATTACACAATAATACAAGTACGAGCTGTGTTAGGATGGAGTACGAAGATGAGCATAAATTATGAGACCTAGCTCATAACAAACTCACCATTATTAGTCCTAACATGACTTCATCACTCCCTTCTAAAAATTTAAAACAAGCTACACTTAAAAAGCTACAAACACGTTCTAAGCATCGACGACAACGTAACTCCGATCGATCTTTACTTATTTATATTTCGATTACCGTAGCTGTTGCATGCAGCATAGACACCGCAATCTTAGCGGCACATCTTCCCCACAACTCCCGATATTGTGACACATTTAAGGATTTTGCAACAATCTGCTGTAGTGCGACAAGCCGATCCTGGTCTCCCACATTTTGTTGGATTAAATTGTTCTTCCAACCCAAGTTGTTCTTTTGCTGCCATTATTTGCTTCATGTAAAATTCAGCAATTCGTTCATTTCCAAGTTCTTGTATCATAGCCTTCATAATTGTTGGTTGCACCGAGCCCATCGTAGTACCTGTATAATATCATTGCAACCAATTTATTAATAATAATATCAACATATCATGTAAAATAAAATTACTTTTTACACACTAATCAAGTTAATTTATTACTATTTCTAAACTATAAAATAGTAGTGTTGTTAACAGTTAAGTTTTTACTATTCCTAAGCTATAGAATAGTGATTAATTGCATGTTGTTAAAAGTCAAGTACACACTATTTTTAAGCTATAAAATAGTGGTTTTAGTTTCTTCATGCATGCGTTTAGTTACCATTACTAATATATATATATATATATATATATATATATATATATATATATATATATATATATATATATATATATATATATATATATATATATATGCACGCACATGCTTTTTCTTATTCAACAACTAATTAGGTGTATCTTCACAAAACACCAAGAAGGTATGAGAGCTTGTTTATGAGTATTGTAGATAACTTCATTATTTTGATACTAATACACTATTTTCATACTATATTTTTCAGGTTTTGCGGAGGTAGTTTCAATAAAAAGTATACTTGATCAACAACCAAGCTACATACGTAAGTCTATATTAGCTATTAAGTTTGAAATATGTTATACTATCTTACATTATGTTGACAATTTTTTATTTCATATACAAGGACATGATTTGCTAACTTATACGAATTTTGGAATTGAGTTGTACGTGTACCTTGGTTTTTAAACTATAGCTTTAGAGTGTTTGTTGTTTTGTGCATTTTTTATCTTAGCACCTATATTTGTAAGTCCCAACATCACCCATATTAGTATCTTATTGACTTCATATAGTTAATAATGCTTTGAAAATTTTATTTATTAGCAAAACTACAATGGCTTCTAAGGAAAGGACATCATGGAACAATGAGGATATTGAGATATTTTTGGATTTAATAAAAGAAAACAAAAAGTCAAGAGGTGGCAAGTATAATTGGGACACAATTGTATTACGTTTGAATGCACAAAAAGGAAAAGAGTTCGAAAAGAAACAATTGGAAAACTTTTATAGTGACATTAGAGGAAAATTTAAAGCTTGGAACGAACTTAAAAGTTGGACTGAAATTGGTTGGAATGAGGAAACGGGTTGCCCTGTGATTGATCCAAAATATGAGAAGTGGAAGGCATTTATAAAGGTATTTAGGTTATGAATTTTGCTTTTTGTACTTATATTTTTGTTATTATTACTTGGAATAATATCAATAATTTTTTTTTCTATTGTATTGCCTTATAGAAACATAAGAACTCTTCAAGCTTTCTAAAGAAACCCTTGATGTTTGAGGATAAGTTGTATGATATATTTGTTGGGACGTATACATCAAGTAACAAATCTTGGTCTCCCGCCGTTGGAGGACCGACCATACTAACCAAACAACCCATGATTCTTGTTCAAGATGATTCTAAGGAAGGAGCTGGGGATTCTCATGAAGAAGGAAATTATGTGAAAAACTACCTATTATAATCCAGAATTTGCGAGAAACTACCTATTAAAAAAAATGTTGTAATTGACTACCTATTTTTTTAAAAATGTTGTAATTTACTACCTTTATGCCGGAATATGAAGGAGTTTGACCAAAATTCTCCGGTGTTGACTTGGTAACGTGACACTTGGTGAAAGAAAAGGGTCATTAAGTGTCACGTGATGGTCACGTGACCAAGTCAACACCGGAGAACTTTGGTCAAACTCCTTCATAATCCGGCGTAAGGTAGTAAATTACAACATTTTTTGAAAATTAGGTAGTCAATTACAACATTTTTTTTAATAGGTAGTTTCTCGCAAATTCTGGAGTATAATAGGTAGTTTTTCACAAAATTTCCTATGAAGAACTTAGAACCAAAGATGATGATATGGAAGATACTGAAAGGTCAGCTTACGAAAGCAGGTCCCCTCCCAAGAGCATATCTTGTAGCAAACGTAAGAGTTCATATTGCGGTGCTACCTCTAGAAAGAGTGTGAAGTATGACATTGAAACTTGCATGGATTATTTAAGAAGAAACATGCAATTTGGTTCCTCTAAGATACAACCTAGACCATCTACATCAAAATATGAAAAAATGATTTCAATATTGGAAGGAATGCCGACAGTTAGCAATTACGGAAAGTCTTTCATTCTTCAAGTGTTGGAGTACTTACATGATCCAGATGAAAGTGATTTGTTTTTGTCTCTTCCGTATAATGAGTTTAGAATCTTGTATTTGAAGACAAAAATCTCATTCCCAGATGATTGCTATAGGCCTAGCTTCGATGATAACTTGGATGATGATTATTAAACTATCATAAGTCGTCTAAGATGCTTAGCACTTGTTATTTTAAAGTTTGGGTGTGTAAGTTTCATTTTTCCAATATGGAATAAGTTAAATTTTGGTAACTAATGTGTTTTTATTGTGATATGTGAAACTTTATTTTATTATGTTTCAATGACAAGTAAGAAGAGTCACATATTATTAATTACATATTTGTTGTTGTTTTTTTTTTTTTTTTTTTTTTTTGAGAAATTAAGTTTATTTTGATTTGTAGAATGGACGAAACATTGCACCAAAATTGTATGATGTATATTTCCTTGCACGAGTTGAAGAGATTACTTACTCAAATAGAACGAATGCCTCTACATGTATAGTAGGGGGTGAACCTGGAAGTGAGTGGATACATAGGTTATTGACTGGACATCCTAATTTGTGCAAAGAGCAACTATGGGTTGATAAAGATATCTTCATAAAGCTTGTTGATGTATTAAGAGGGAAAGAAATATTATCTGATGGTCGATTTATACACGTGGAAGAGCAAGTCGGCATATGTCTATTCATGATGGCTAAAGCTGATTCATATCGTGATGCTGCGGAGAGATTTCAACATTCGATATCAACCATTTCTATCTACTTCAGAGCAGTGTTGAAAGCTTTGGTTTCATTATCTTGTGATATTATTCGACCATATCAGAGTTTCAATGAATCACCACCAGAAATTAAAAACAATTCATTATATTGGCCATTTTTCAAGGTAACAATTCTAATGTATTTAGTTAGTAAAAATGTTTATCCTAACATGCTACATATTTCATTCTAATATTATTTTTTAAAAAATCATTCTTAGAATTGTGTCGAAGCTTTAGATGGTACCCATATAGAAGCAGTTGTTGATGATGTTGGTGGTAAGCCATATAGAGGACGTAAAGGAAACAAAACATGGAATGTCATGACTGCGTGTTCGTTAACATGTTATTTACTTTTCTTAATGTGGCCTTATGACACGACATTTTGGACACATTGTTTAGGTGATGTAACCAAGAAATTCCCCCCATCCACCTTCAGGTACTATTTAAAGTTTAAATTTGTTGTTACTTAGATAAATATGCTACCTAGTGTATACTAATATTTTCTTTTGAATGAATAGGAAAATACTTTTTAGTTGACTCAGCATATCCAAATACTCTTGGATATCTAAGCCCGCATATGGGCAAAGACTTGAAGTATCATTTGCCAGATTTTGAAGAAAGGGGTCCACCTATTGGAAACTTAGAGCATTATAATTATCGACATTCCTCTTTACGTTCAACAATTGAAAGATGTTTCGGCGTATTAAAGAAAAAATGGAAAATCTTAAAGATGATGCCACCGATGGATGAAGCATTTCAATTGTCTATCATTGTTGCAACATTTACGCTTCACAATTTTATCCGTCTATACGAATTAGGGATACCAATATTTCAAGAGGTTGAAGAAATGGAGACTAGAGCAGATTATAATTTGTATGATATGCAAAGGAAAAAAGCTATGAACCGTATTCAGGATAAAATAACAAAAGATATATGGAAGTCGGTTGGAGGTGTCGTAGAGGATGATACAGAAGAAGGAGATGATGAGAATGATGATGATGAAGCACTAGAAGATTGAAATTTTATTTGGTGTTATTGCAATATACACTTTTGCTTGTTTCAGTGTTTATTTTTTTTAATATTTGAAATTATCAAAATGCTAATATTTTCATATTTTATTGCTTTTATTTTAATATATTGTTATATATATACTCATATTACCAATATGTTACACAATATGTTTCAAGAATGACAAATAATGTCTAATAAAGTCTTATAAGTGTTAATAAGGTTTAATAAGGTCAAATAAGTGAAAATAAGTGTTAATAAGGTGTAATAAGTTCAGATAAGTTCAGATAAGGGTTGATAAG